AACATTTTCTGAACATGAAGTGTTTGTGTATTGTTTTATTTTATTTTTTAAATTTTAAATTAAAAGTGGGCCGGATTTAAATACCAAGAGGGCCGGTTTTGGCCCGCGGGCCATATTTTTGAACCCCCAGATTTAAATGAGCTTAGTCCAAATGTGTACAATGCATGTGTCGAATTTGAATTTAAGTCTAAATAAATAATAACAAACAACCCAAATGAGCACTTTGGTGGACCTGAAAGCCCCCTGGTGGCCAAGTTGTCTATTTTAATTTGGATTCAAGTGCAAATCTATTTGTGTGAAAATACTTTAAACAACATATATGGCCTGCGATGGGGGATTGTACTATGGAATTGAGCCTCATTTGCAAATACCTGTAGGTATTTGTGTTTTCACAGGCCAATTTATCCGTGCTTTTCAAAGATCAGATTCATGTTCCTTAAACATCGTTGGAGAGCTTTAGAATAACAAAGGTTATTTTGATCCACTCTTCCCTCCATTTCTGCTCCACCTCTTCCTTAAACTTGAGCTCTCGTCTGTAAGCATGCTTACTATCGTTGTGTTACGATGTCCTACCTGGACAGGGTACGGTACAGGGTTCCTGCAGAACAATTTTTGCATCACCGTCCACTAAAAGCTCCAGATCGCCACACAGCTCATCGTCCACCAAACTGCTGTCCTGCAGACCTGACCCGTCTGACACAAAGCATGACACGTTCCTAAAACGCAGGCCATCCCCACATCTTGCCCCCTGGTAGGGTTTAAAAAAACAGAAATGGTGGTTAAACATAGCATTTTTTATACTTTTGTTTAATTACTTTTTTCAACAATAAGTGACCTGTGTCTGTATATCTGTATCCCAAGAACATCCACCAGAGGCCTCTCTGTTCTAAGTAAAGGTTAATACCGAAGGTCGTAAATTAACATTACTGCCAATGCAGAAATACATTAGTGAAATTGAATTTACTCGTACGGTATTTTCTGAACTATAAGTCGCAGAAATAATGACTATGTAGATTTTTAGTGAAACAGGAGTAGCAGATACTGGTTCACAAGCCTAGAGTGCCCTCTACTGGCTGTCAGTGTGAAAATAACGAAACATGTACATTTTTAGTGGTAAAAGAGTATCAGATACTGGTATACAAGCCTAGAGTGCCCTCTACTGGCTGTCAGTGTGAAAATAACGAAACATGTACATTTTTAGTGGTAAAAGAGTATCAGATACTGGTATACAAGCCTAGAGTGCCCTTTAGTGGCTGGCAGTGTGAAACTAAGAAACATGTGAAATTATGTATTTTTTAATATTTAAGTCGCATCTGAGTACAAGACGCAAGCCCAGCCAAAGGATGAAAAAAGAGCGACTTATAGTCGCGGTAACTGATGGACCTTTGCTTATTACATTAGTTTCAACCTGCATATCGATCTATAAATAGCCACTATTTTTAATCTGTAATTTAAACGTCAACTAATTTAAAGTTGTTTTTTTTTGGTCCTACTGATACATCCAATAATAATATTTATAAATATCCATGTGAGCCATTTTAGGTTCATTGGTTTCTCTGGTACTAAGAAAATAAAATAAACGAAAATCCAAAATATGGAAACCAATTAAAATTCCGAGTATCAAACGTTACCTTACCTCAGACTTGCACTCAGACCAGGTGCTGTATTGCCAGCTGTAGCAGGGCTTAACTGGACAAGGCTTCCACTGCTCCATCTGGGACAGACACGGTCTGCCATCACCCTGAGGAGCCTGGATCACCGTCCTTCTCCTCCATAGCTTTCCTGTAATACATACGATACAAAAAAAATATTAAATAACCCTTTAGTAAAGGAGTATAGAAATGCATAGTTCATACACTGTGTTGAAGCCTCAGAACAATCAGAGGGATGTACAGTGATCCCTCTCCTATCGCGGTAGTTGCGTTCCAAGACCGACCGCGAAAAGTAAAAATCCGCGATATTTTTATCTTATTTACGTATATATATATATTTACCCTTTACGAACCTCCCCCACGCTGTTATCAACCCTCCCTAGACTGTATTACCATTTCCCACACAATTATATGGACAGTAGAGTTGTATAATGGAAATATAAGACCATACAAATTACGTAAATAAATTATATACACAACGCGGTAGAAGTTAGCGCTCAGCGGAGGAGGGGGAGCAAAGTAGTAAAATATCGCAAGATACTGCGATATAGCAAAAATTTAAAAAAAAAACTGCGATATACTGAGGGACAAAGGATAAATGCGATACAGAGAGGGAACACTGTATCTGATTTGAGACATTTATTTATTTTATTTTTTACGAATACGACTTGCACATTCTTGCACAAGTCCTGTAGACTTTCAAAATTTGAAATTCAAGATTGTTTTTAATTCAAGATTTTTTTTAATTGGAAGGATTTTTGGAAAAAATAGAAATTAAGCCATGACATTGACAAATTTGTGTCTTTGCTGCGTCATGTGAAATCTAAACCTACCTGCCAGACCACAGGTGCGTGTACATCTAGACCATGAGGACCACTCAGACAGCTGGCAGTTGACAGGGCACTCCACTGTACAGGAAGCGTTCATTTGCCACTTCCTCTCGAGACCCAACTGCAAGACACCCAACTTGATGAACAAGTGTGTTTGATAAAAAAAAATAGTGGCGAATATTGGACGGTAATGGCAACGTGACCTTACCTCTTTGCAGTACTTCAGATCAACAGATTTGCCGTCGCTACGCACACAGTCCAGCATGCGGGTTTTGATGCCATTCCCACACACTGCTCGGTCACTTAGCTGACAGGTGCTCCAATCTGCAGAGGGCAGGCGTCGTTGTCAGTGATAGTGAGGTCGAAGTAAATGTACAATGACCTTTTTGTGATTGTCTTGCATGGAAAGTCAGATATAAAGATTTAGGCATTGCTGTCAATTACAGTAGGAGGCATAAACCCTGCCAATGCTCTAAAAAATGTGAAATTTTTTATGTTTTTACGTAAGTAAAAATTACAAAAAGGAATGTTTCAAAGTGTTTTCCTCTAGGAGACCGAAATGTTTTGTCAAAAAGTGGTTGCATCGCTAGATGCTACACAAACTTATTGTGGGAAGCTGCTAATCCACAGTGACAGGATTATACATACACTGTGCCTCCAGCATGAGGAGTGACCCAACCCATCTGGTAAATGCAAT